GGACTGACCGGACGGTCACGTCCCAAAACTGTCACTGGATCCCGCCACTAACCACGCTGCTAAACACGCCAACAACGCCACGTTGACCTGGCGGCGCTTGCGTGAGCGGTGCAGATGTTGCGTGGAATCCGAAAGATCGGGATGGCCCGACCTCGGCCGGATTCTCACGTGCTTTGCATTCCGCAGTTCACTCGCCTGGTCCTCACACCTGGCGCGAATAACGCGGCTTGTTTAATTCGACAAGTGCCGTGGCGATGGCTCATCTGGCGGCCATCGCCTGCCCACTGGCGTGAGCACATGGCGTGACGGCGTGAACATGGCGCGAGGTGCCTTCACTACGGGCCGATGAAGCGCATCAGGTCATCACGTCATCATGGAGTCGTCTCCGACCAGCACCCTGCACCCGTCCCCGTAAGCCGCAGGCATGCGAGGCGGCGAGGCGCGGTGAGGCACCGCCAGGCAGTGCCAGGCGGAGCTTTGACGCGCCCCTGATACCACACGGCACCGCGGGATGCTGAGCTGCCGGCACATGACTCATACTGCAGGCATCCCCCGGGACGGGCGGCGCTGGTGCGGCGGTGAGCGGTCCAGTGGTGGGAAACTCCTGCCGCCGCGGTGGCGGTGCGAAGCTCGGGGCCGAGCTACACGGCCGCCAGGTCAGCCAGCGCCCTCGGCGCAGTGAAGCAGTGAAGAGATGTGCCAGGGGCTATCACGCAGTGGGCCTGAGAGCGAAACATTCCTCCGGCCGCGTCGCACCTCCCCACGAGGTGATCTCAGCCCGCTCAGCCGCTTCTGCGCTCTAGAGCCCAGCTCGGCAGCGCCGGTCCGATCGCCACGGGCGGCCGGGAGGGCGGCGGCCGTCCTCCCTGAGAAGGGAAAGTTGTTTGGGTGCCGCGACAAGCTTCCGCGTGAGAGTTACGATACCTCGCCAGAGTTCTCGGCGATTTATAAACAGGTGGGCGGTGATGAACGCTGCTTTACGAGCCGGGGACAAGCAGCGCGTTCCAACCCACGCTTGGTTCACCTGAACGCCCCGGCAGCGGCGAGACTTCAACGCGGGCGGGCACATAACGAACGACTGCAATAAATCACCATAGTATAACACCGCAACGTTCCAGCGCGCTCGACTGGCGCCCGGGTGGTGGAATGAAGTGATACCCACCAGCCGCTTATGATGCCCGCTAACCTCAAGTTACACTGGCAAGCCGCATTACGGGACGCCGGACATGCTCTTGAAATCACCAAAACGCTTTTGTGTTTTCTCGGAACTTGCTAGCGGTAGTGACCCCGGTTGTATGGTGTACTTCGACTCAGGTACAGTGGAAAGTAGTGGAGCGGAGAGTCAAAACCATTGAAGTCACTTGCGCATGTCATTCGCGCGATTTAATGATTTAAAATGGATCTGTATGACTTGTCGTTCAATAGGTCTAAACAGAAGTCATCCGACAAAAAAACACGCATCATCTGATGATAGTCAGCTTCACTTTGACTAACGAACCGCATCCAAAAGTAGTCTCAGTTGAGTTGCTGCAGGGTCAGCCAGTGTCAAAGAGAGAGAGAGAGAGAGAGAGAGAGAGAGAGAGAGAGAGAGAGAGAGAGAGAGAGAGAGAGAGAGAGAGATATATATATATATATATATATATATATATATATATATATATATATATACATACATATATATATGTGTGTATATATATATATATATATATATATATATATATATATATATATATATGCGCCGTGTTTAGACCGGTGCTACCGGGGTCGCAGGCCAAGGTGAAGGCAATAAAATCGCGGGTGAGGGGCACAGATGGTCAGGATTACTTCGAACAGCATGATGCATTTATCTGGATTGTTTCGCTTATTTCGGTCACGTCCTTCATGCGGACACGATGTTTAAACAGACCCGACCCGCGGATCATGGTCAAAAGCTGAAACCCAGGCTGCACGAATGCTGATTGTTCAGTGGGCTGTTTGGCCAGGTGGATGTCAGCAAGCCTGCGGATCTGATGCACCTGACCGTTCCTGGAGATCTCCGGGAGCTGTGGGCGACGGGGTTTTTGAGTTGAGAAATTGTCATTTAGTCTGTCGTTTATTATATATTCGAGGTTCCAAAGACTCCGGGCACCTTAATCTAAGGAGAAACCTTATACGGCACACGTGCCACATGAGGTTATCAGCCCTTTTTGAGGGTGTGCTGTCAGATGACAAGCTTTGAAAGCCGTTCATGTCTTTCCGTGCGGAGCGCAACGGGTTTCGGTATGATGCAATATTCCCAGCCATCGGTAATTTGGTATTCCACTGAATGTCTTCATGGATTAAGCTCACTGATAACTAAATCCCCCCCCCCCCTTTCTTCCCCTCCTCCCGGATCGAGTGAGGCTGTCTCATTTGGGTAGGCGATGTAGGGACCTACGAAGGCTTGCCGGAATGCCGCTCCTCCAGGCTGCTCGCTTTCGGAGATCTTGGCGAACCGAGGCAGCTGCGCGCGCCGAGCCGGGCTTTGTGATGCAGCTGTCTATGCCTCAGAGGCATCTCAGCGGACCACGAATGGCGGGAGGACCTTCCGTCAGCGATCATCACATGGCTGTCACTGGTGTAGATTTCTTACACTTACGAATGTGTATGGTTCATAGAGAGGTCTTCAGCTCCTGGCGATCAGGCATAGTCGGAGCAAATAGTTACGCTGAAGAGGCACTGTGGCTAAAATCCACTTTCAATGAGCGCGTAGCTACTGGATGAACAGCCAATACATAACAGCCTATTTGGAAGGCTCGATATTTTAACGAAGAAACGGCGGAGACTGTCAGTAATGATCTTTCATCAAAAAATATCGCTAGATACTGCCTTTTACCCCGTCTGTCTTTTAATGTCCCTACGGGTAAAAACAACGAAAGTTTGCCCTGGCACTAAGTTTCATTGAATGCGATTTAAAGTGATCAGGCCTAGTCCGTACGCAGCAGCGGAAAAAACGGATTCAGTAAGCGTTGAAAACAATGCACGTCGATCTAGTGATGCCTGGATAAGTCTGGTACGAGAAGCCTAACGCAACGACACATCGCACAAGCTAGCGGCACGTTGCCGTGGCAACACGCACCTGTCACCAACAGCAAGCCTATAGCGGCTGCATGAGGACATCACCTTGATCGCAAACCTGACGCGACAACGCAAGTGAAGTGCTGCTGGTATCCAGCATATCGATGCAATGGCGCGGCGACTCCAGTCTGACCCGCGTTCGGCTGTGCGTTTCAGGCCGGCGGCGTGGGTGGCGCTGCTGCTGGCGGCGGTCGCCGCGCAGACAACGGAGCCGTACTCATCGGAGCCCATCGAGTCGCGCATCGTGCGCAAGGTGCTCGATAACGGCACGATCGTCGAGTACGAGTACCTCTACTACTATGACTACGAGGACGAGCCCACCGCCAACACGCTCGACTTCGAAGACAACTTCGCCGAGGAGGTGGTCACGGAGGCAGCGACGGAGCCTCCCACGACGACCACGACCACGACGACCACCACCACCACCACGACGGAGGCGCCGACCACGACAACTGAGGAGCCGACCACGCGGCGCTCGCGGCGCCCGCCGCTGCGTGAGGTCATTGACAACGAGGTGACAGAGCGCACGCCGGGGGGGATCAGCGTGGGTCGCGTCGGCCGTCGGCTGACGGGTGGGCGCGGCACGAACCGCCGGCGGGGACGGCCCAGTTTATCCTTCACCGCCGCCCCCAGCACTGAGGAGCCCACCACCACCGAGGCGCCCACCACCACGACAACCACCACCACCACGACCACGACCGCTGCGCCCACCACTGCCTCCGGGACGAGCAGCGGAATTTTAGATGACTATTACGATTATCCCTACTCAGAATATTACGACTACCCCTACTTTGATGAGGAGGAAGTTGAGGCCAGCGCCGTGGCGGGTGAAAAACCGTCTAGCGTGTCCCACGACCAGTCTGTCCTGCCGGCCGAGTCGGATGCCGCTGAGACGACCACGGTCGGAGCCGTCACCGAGTCCACCACTCCTGCGGACAGCGGCGCCACCGAGACCTCCGACACCTCCAGGCTGTTCCCTGGGGGAGCGGTCGACAGGAGCGGCGAGGCTAGTCTGTTCCCGGTCGGCCTGCCGGCCGCCGAGCCAGATGTCACGACCAATCCCACTGGTCTGTTCCCTGGTGGTTCCGACGCCACCACCGCTAGCTCCAATGACTTGTTCCCAGCCCGCCCCGCTGACCTGTTCCCCTCTGTCCGAGGCCGTGATCGCGAGGCCACGTCAACTGCCTCGAGTCGGGACGAGGAGCCGGCTTCAACTGTGCCTATCTTCGACAACGAGGTCACATCCACCGCTCGCAGCAGCACGGAAGACGCTCTCTTCTCCATCTCTTCCAACGACTTGCCGGTCACGACGGTTTCCAGTACAGAGGAGGAGTCGATTCCGGCGGTGAGCATTCGCGGAGAGGAGGTGGCCCCCGCTCTCCCCATACGCCCGGCGTCTCGCGGTCGCCTGTCGCGCCCGAGCCGACCCCGTCTATCCCGGCCGTCTCTGTCGTCCGGCCGCGCGCCGCCTCGCAACAACATCGAGGCGAGCGTCCTGGGAAACATTCTCGGTCGGCCTGTCGACGAGTCCGAGCTCGAGCTCCAGCCCGAGCTTGGGTTCGAGCTGGAAGAGGAGAAGGCCCAGCTGGAAGAGACGACGACAACGACAACCACCACCACCACGCCGGCCCCGTCGGGTCGGGGACGCGGTCGGTTCCGTGGGCGTGGGCGTGGTCGTGGTCGCACGTCCGTCGCCGCTGCCGAGCAGCCCGCTCCGGCACGCACACCCACACGGTCCCGTGGCAGGTCCCGTCCCGCGCCGGCGCCGACGTCGGCGCCGACGCGCAGTCGCTCGCGCGGTAACCGCATCCGCACGCCTGCTCCCGAGACGCTGCCGGAGCTGGAGGATCCGGTCATACTGAGCAACGCGCGCCAGGGTCGCGTGCTGGGCCGTAGGCGTGGTGGCCCGAGACGCCAGTCGGTCGCCGAGCCGGCTGAGGTGATCGCCGTCGCGGAAGAGCGTCTGCCGCCGCGCACGCGCTTCCCGCCGCGCGGACCCGCGGTCGCGCAGGCGGAGCCGCAGTTCGACGAGACCACTACGGAGTTCAACACGCCGGTGACGACCGAGTTCAACACGCCGGTGACGACCGAGTTCGCCGACGAGTTCGCTACGGACATCGCCTTGGGAGAACTGGGCCAAGATGCGCCGTTTGAGGACGAGGCGACCACCACGACGGAGGCTACGGCTCAGACGGAGCGGGACCAGTTCCTCTTCCTCGGAGAGGAACAACGGACCGGGTCTGCGTCCGGGTTGGAGACAGACTTGTTTGACGCCACGACGTTAACGCCGGAGCCCACAACAGAGGCCGGCTTCTTCGAGGCGTTCACGCGGGCCGAACAGGCCCAGAAGGTCGACTTCTCCGGGCTGCGGCCGCGACCTGACCAGATCATCGAGCTGACGCCTGAGCCGCCCCTCCCCACCGAGGCCGAGACGACCACGACGACCACCACCACCACCACGGAGGCGCCGGAGGAGGAGACGCGACGCCCGGGCCGGCCGCGCGGCCGCGGCGGTCTGAGAGCGGGCCGCCGCCTGCCGGCCAGCCTCCGGCGCGGCGGCCAGCAGGACGTCGAGTCCAAGCCCGTCGTCTCTAGGCCGCCGTCGATCCGCACTCGCCGGCCGCCGCGCCCAGGACGCCGGCCGGCCCCGGAGCCGGAGGTTGTGGAGGAGGAAGTCGCCGAGGAGCAGGTCTCGGAGGACGCTGCCGCGCCGGAACCGGCGGAGGAGGAGGAGGTCGCGGCTCCCGCGCGTCGGCCGCGCATCAGGCCCGGAGGCCTGTCCCGACGCCCGCGCCCCAGCATCTCTCGCCTGGGCGGCCTGCGCGGTCGCCGCGGCCGCGGCAGGAGGCCCGCAGTCGAGGAGCCGGAGGAGGTCACCGAGCCCGAGCAGGCGCCCGAGCAAGCGCCCGAGCCCACGGCCGCGCCCGTCGCCGAGACGCCCGAGACGGAGGCACCATCACGCAGGCGTGGCCCCTCGGGGAGATCGCGTCCGCGCCGTCCACGGCCCGGCGGACGGCCCTCTCGGCGACGCGGGCGACCCACGGCCGAGCCGGAGCCCGCGGCTGAGGCGCAGAACGAGATCGAGGACGAGGTGCCGCAGGCGCAGCCGGAGCGCGCGCCTGAGGAGGCAGCGCCGGTCGAGGTCGAGGTCGAGGAGGCTCCCGCCCCTGCACCGAAGCGCGGACGGCCTGGTCGCCTGGGGCCTGGGCGCAGGGGACGTCGTCCGGGCGGCCTCCGCGGTCGAGGCGGCCGTAGGCGCCGGCCGGGAGCCGCTGCTGAAGAACCGGTCGAGGAAGAGGTCAAGGCGGAAACCGAGATCGAGCCTGCGGCCGAGGCCACCGTCCTGGACGTCCCGCAGGAGGTTCCCCAGGAGGAGATCGTCACCGAAGCGACGGTGGTGCCGACCAGGCGCGGCCGTCCCGGGCGCCTCGGGCGTCCTGCGCGCCCGGGGCTGCGGCCGCGAGGTCGACCCGGGCTGAGGAGACCTGGCCGTCTGCCGCTGCCCTTGGCCAGGCAGCCGGCCGCGGAGGAGCCCGAGGCCGAGACGCCCGCCGAGGAGGTCGCCGAGGAGGCCGCTGAGGAGGTGCAGCAGGCTCTCGAGGAGGCCGTCCCTGAGGAGCCCTCGTCTGTGGTGGAAGAGGAAGAGCAAAACGAAGTGGAAGAGCCCGTGAGGGGACGGGGTCGCCGTTTCCGAGGCCGAGGCGCGCTGGGCCGCCGTGGGAACAGAGCCCCACCCCGCGCGTCCTCAGCAGGGCGGAGGTCTCGAAAGAGGACCCAGGCAACGACAGCGGCGCCCGAGGTGCGCGAGGAAGAAACCGAGGAGTCCAACGCCGTGGAGGATGAGCCGGCGCCGTCGAGGAGACGCGGTCGCGGCGGCTTCCGGCCCCGCTTCTCGCGCGGTCAGGCTGACCCCGTCGTAGGCAGCAACGCTATCACCGGCCGCGGGCGTCGGCCGTCCCGACGTCGCGGTGGCTCGCGCAGGGGACAGGCCGCTGCACCGGAGGTTGTCGAGGTCACCACAACCACCACCACCACTCCAATCCCCGAGGTCAGCACTGAGGCAGACATCGAAGTTGCGGAAGAGCAGGTCATCACGGACGCGGCGATTGAGGACATTGGCTCGCTCGAGAACGCAATCCCCGAGGAGAACGGTACAGAGGGCAGCGCAGACTTCGCTTCATTCACGGAGGGGATTTTCGAGGGTGACGCAACGACAGCTGCTGGACTCGAGCAGGACGCTGAGGTCACCGAGACTGACGCGACCGTGAGCGCCGAGACGCCGGCCGAAGAACCAACCACCATCGAGGCGATCGCAGACGAGAGGATTACCACAGAGTTCATTCCTGAAGAGCCGACGACTCCTGAGCCTTCCATTCGTGGGAGACTGAGGGGAGGGAGGCGCGGTCGCAGACTGGGACGACCCGGTCGCAGGCGCATTTCCCCCAATGCCGTCCAAGCACCCGTGGCTGAGGTGGCTGATGAAACGGAAAGTTCACCGGTTCGGCCAATCAGGACGAGAGGTCGTCCCTCTCTGCGTGGTCGACCCACTCGGCCTGAGCCCCAAGAGGCTGAAGAAGTCGCCGTCGACGAAGCTCCTGTCGGAAGACCTAGGGGCAGAGGGCGTCCCCTTCTGCCAGCCCGCATTGTTGCTACCGAGGCCGAGGAAATAGCCGAGGAGGAATCACCAGTTGAGCGTCCGAGGTCCAGGGGCGCCTCCACCATTCGCCGCCGGATAAATGTCCGTAGGCCAGCAGTCGCTGGGGAAGAGACCAGCAGGGTGAGCCGGCCCCGCGGCCGGGGCCGTCGTCCGCTGCGACCAGCTGCGATCGAAACCCCCGAGGTCATCAGCGAGCCCGAGGTTGCCGACGAACCCGAGGTCACCACTGAAGACGAGGCCCCCGAGGAGACGCCGAGGGTCAGAAGCCGACCTTTGCTGCCCTCGCGCCGGGCATCTCAAGAGCCCGAGAGCGCCACTGAACAACAGGAGCAACAGGAGGCCCCAGTGGGTCGGCCGCGCGGCAGAGAACGACGGCCATTCCTGGGCCTGCGACCTGGGGCCAGGAGGCGTGGATTTCTCGGCCTCGCCTCACCGGGGCGGACGCAGCCACCCGCAGTAGAGGAACCGGCGGACGAGCCGGAGGAGGAGCAGCCCGTGGAGGAGCAGCCCGTGGAGGAGCAGCCCGTGGAGGAGCAGCCCGTGGAGGAGCAGCCGGCCGAGGAGCAGCCCGTGGAGGATACCAAGAGTGCCGATGAGGCCCGGCCGTCACTGACGGGGCCAGGCTCCCGCCAGCTGCGGTTCCGCACGCGAGGCGAGGCATCGCTGCCCAACAGGAGTTTGCCGCCAGTGATCGGCGGCCGCAGCGTCCTGAGTCGGCCCGGCGGCGGGCGCCGCCGGCGCCCGCTCTTCGCCCGCCCGCCGGCCGCGGAGGTGCCCGTCGAAGAGGAGCTCGAGCTGACCCCGCAGACGGAGATCCGGCAGCTGACCGCGGAGAGCGAGCCGACGCCGGAGCTGCCCGCCGAACAGGAACGCCCCGAGGCACCGGTGGAGAACGAGCCCGCCCTCGAGGAGCCGGGCGCGGAGGAGAGCCCGGCGCCGGCCGGGGAGGCCACTACCCTGCCGCCCTTGTTCCGGCGCCCGTTCAGCGGGGGTCGGCAGCGGGGCACTGGGCGGCGCGGCTTCGTGCCGGGCACGCGGCGCCGCGGCAGCCGGCCGGGCGGCGAGCGGCGCATCACCTCACTGCTCGCGCGCTCCGACTCGCCAGTGCAGGCCATCCTGCTGCCTACGGTGCCGCCGCCGGCCTCCACCGAACCAGTCCCGACCGAGGAGGTCCCCGCGGAGGAGGTTCCTGTGGAGGAGACCGTGGCTTTTGAAGATGCGGCCGCTGTCGAAGGAGGCGCCGCCGAAGAGAGCGCTGTCACCGAAGAGGAGCAGGAGCTGCTGTTGGTAGTCGAGGGTGAGAGAGTAGAGCAGCTGGAGGACGCGGTGGAGGGGTCTGGAGCGGCGATGGAAGGTAATTGGTTTACTTACCCCTGCTTTTACATTAATATGCTTATATAAAGTTTAGTGAATAGTGTCTGGTTGAAGCCGGATTACTGGTTTCGGTGGCTTGTTAGCCTGGTGGCAAAGCTTTAATTACTCGTTATATGGCTTCGATCTCCGTGAAATAAGATAAGCTTTGCCTGCTTTGGTTTCACATCCGCATAGAATAGCGACTTGTATGTGGATGCTGTGGGCTAGACAGCAGACAAACCAGAGGCGAAGTGTACAGTGTCCACCAATGCAATACGCACCGCCATTCAGTCCTTGGGCTAAAACACACAGTTTTGATGACTTCACCACCTCTGATGGCTTGCTATAGCGGGAACCCTAAGCAATACCGGAAGCGTGCTGAGACAAGACGCTTTCGATGGTGAAAGCTCTCAGAGTTTCGAACACTGGGCCATCGCATCCCCCCCGTCAGTCTCAGACTGTCCGAATTACAGTAATGACAGTAAAAAGGCCGAATACTACACTGTGAACACATTTGCTTCTGGTTTGACTGCCGCAGGTGGCATTGTTGGTGGCATTATTGGAGGCTTGTGCTCGCCGGTCACGGCTGGTGAATGGAACTGGGTGATGGGTGCCCGTACAGGCCGCACGGAACGCGTCTCACTCCACCCCCGGAGGTGGCAGCTGACCGAGCGAGGCGCGACCGTGCTGGGCTTGACCCGACCCCACAGGACGTCCGGCCGGCGGCAGCAGCACACGCGCCCCTCTGCAGACCGTGACCGACCGCCCGTGTTTCAGACGAGCAGCAGGGAGAGTCTCCGGTGGTGGTGGAGGCGGCGCCGGCGGCGGAGGAGCCGGCGGCGGAGGAGCCGGCGGCGGAGGAGCCCGCGCCGCGACCGCGGTCGAGGGCCTTCCGCCCCAGCCGGGCCGGTCGCATCGGCCGGCCGTCGCTCTTCGAGAAGCTGCAGGGCCGGCCCGCCCGGCCGTAAGCGCGTGACCCCAGACGAGGTCGCGGCAGAGCGACCCCACCGGAGCCGCTGACGGCGCCCCGGGGGTGGGAGGGGAGGGGGGCTGCTCGCGGCGGCCGCGAGACGTCAGGCACAGCGGTATCGACCGCACGCCCGCTGGAGTGTCAGCCCGGTCCGAGGACAGGATGGAGGAGAGTCGAGGCGAGCGGCGAGTGGTCGGGTGACAAATCAAAGATGGCCGCCGCCCACGGCGGCCCCGGCACGGCGTCGGGGCGCCATCGTGTTCATCCCCGAAACATCATCCGTGTATGTTTACGTGCGTGGGTGCGTGTGTTGAGCGTCGTCCCCTAGCGCTAGAGGCGCGTGGCTGTAACTGTACGTTCGGCGTGAGCTCGAGCTGCAGAGTGAGACTGTCCGATGACCCGCGCTCCCAGCGCCGGCTGTCAGGCGTGCAACATAGTTCCAAGCAGTACTGAAGTGAGCGTGGCAGCGACATCTTGTGTAATTCAGTGCCATTTTGACATGATCATTGACGTGTGAGCGAGATCGGTGCATCTGAGAGGCATGGTATTCGATGACAATACATAAATGTCGCACAAAAGCCATCCGTATCTTCCAAGCTGAAGCGAGCGGCTTTGCCGGGAGCATGTAGGCGCAGTCTCCTACGACTGTGCGACAAAGGTTCGAGACAATACGCCTGCAAATGCCGTAGACAAAGAACACGAGCATTTGTCAGTGTATCCTGCCCGGAATAAGGCGAACAACCGCGTAGCAGCACACCGTGTGGACAAAATGCTTCGATATTCACAACCGTATGCAACATCAACAGTTCACGCGTAACAGCGGTATCACGAGAGGGCGCATCGCGTTGTCCGCATGTGAAACTCAGCGCCGAGTACAGACCGACGCCGAATCGCTCAAAACCGCTCCAACTTCACGGTCTCTGGTGACGACACCGTGGCTGACCTCCAGCACACCTCGGGCGCCGCGCCTGCCGTCCTCACGGCGGCGGCGCCGGCTCCACCAGCAAGGCGGAGCTCCAGCCGCCGGCGGCCAGCCGTACCACCCGGCCGGACGGCACCGACAGCCGGTGCGGCGCCGCCCGCGCCCGCCGCGGCCCCGCCAGCTGGCCGTAGGCGTTCCAGCCCCAGCCGAGTACGGCGCCGTCGTCTGTCAGCACGCGCGCCGCATCAGCTCGGCCGGAGGTCGGCCGCACACGCGACAGGGAGTAGGCGTCTCCCGCGCCGGCTCTGCCGCCACCGGACGCGCCAATCCGCCGGGACCCGTGCGACGGATTAGGCCTGGGCGCGGCTTCTGGGGCAGCGGTTCCGGCGGGGATGGTGCCGCCGTTGTCAAGGCTCACGCGAGGGAATGCAGGAGTCACTGCTGGGAAATCGGATTGCGCGCGGGCTTTAGGCCGGCTGAGACCTCATAACGTCAGTCTACAATTAAAATTGGTGGACTTGTGGAACTATGCAGGTTGAGTATGGTTTCGGTGCGTTTCGGTGCTGACGTAACGCCAGATGGTTAGACACAGGTAAAACAACAACAACAAAAACGAAAGTTAATCTCGGCCGCACATACAATCCATCCACAGCTGAAAGAAAATATTGTAAAAATGTTTCGACAACTAAATAGCTAGCTGATAACAACTGAAGCATTCCCTATCATCACGCGGTTAATCTCCACTAAAAAACATCGTACACATTTCACATGCAACCGAGCAGACTTAGGGCATACCGTGCCCAACAGGCCATCTCTGGGAGAGTTCTGCGCGTGCGCATGACCTACCGAGTAGGGCCAGGGTGTGGCGTGTGCCGCACGCCACCTGGCGCACGTTTTTGTCAACAGGCAGCGCCTCTACCAGCGTCGGCTCGGGCGCCACATTGACGTCGTCGCCCAGGCCCAGCTGGTTGGACTCGTTCCAGCCCCAGGTGTAGACGTCCCCAGAGGTGGAGACGGCTGAGGCGCGAGCCACGGCGGTGTCACAACACAGCAGCCGTGCGTTATCGCCTGGTGTTTAGGGCAGCACCACCGCAGCCCAGCTGCGGCTGATATCCGGACCCAAGCGGTTTACGCGCGCTGTCATTGAAACTGCCTCCTAAACCAGCCTGACTGAGCACTTCGCAGGGACGGGCCCAGGACCAGAGTCCTTGCTAAGCATAGGTGAGTGTGCAGATGCTAGTCCGAGCACTATCATAAAGCGATTGCCGCTCAACGGACAGAGACCCTCAAGACGTCGCGAATGACAATCGCCCTCTCACAAAAAAACGGAACCACGTCGGCCAAATCCCCATCGTTCGTCGATGGGCTGGAGACCTCCGACCAGGACCCCACAAACCGCCCGGAGCTGCCGGGCGAGCCTCGTGGACCCACCTGCGGTGTGCCAGCCGCCAGCGGCCACCTGTTGGATGGGCAGCCCGTCAAGAGCTTGGACCAGCTGCGGCGTCTCGGCCGCGTCCAGGCCGCCCGAGCCCAGCTGTCCCCGGCTGAGGAGACGCGTCAGGCTGTCGGTGAGGAGGAGACGGCACTCTGGCCGTGTCGGGGCAGTCATTTTGTTCAGCAAGCTTTTGACTGTTCACTGCTTAAGACGTCACATGCTCTGACTTCATGACGGGACACAAAAACGTCACACGTGGCCGCTGAGATACGCGGATGCTCACAAGCAACAAAGAACTGCGAACAGCAAACCGTGACCTGGCGCAGGAACGCAACCTCAAAACGACCATTGTCGCGTGCCATGTGGCACAACGCTTCATAAGTGTTAGCCGCGTCCGCAAATCTTGCCCACTAATACCTTACTTGGCACTGCAGGCCTGGCGGCCGTACCCACGCCTAGAGCCCACCGCGGTCCTCCGACGCACCTGCCGCAGCCGTACGTGTACACGCGCCCAGAGCGGGTCAGCAGCACCACGTGCTCGCGGCCGCACGAGACCAGCACCACGTGCTCGCCGGCGGGCGTGGGCACGGCGTCCAGACTCAACAGGTGGCCATCTGCGGCAGCCGTACAAGCCACTGCCCGACTCGGACGTGTAGGAGGTGAAGACGGGACAGCCCTGCTGAGTCGGCCTCGGCTGCGTAAGACTTGGGCTAACGCTCTTATGTTGAAATAACGTATCAATCACGTCAGACTTTGATATACTAGTACATCTAACATCAACTAAATACTTCCTTTATTGCCATTACTCTTTTGGATATCACATGAAATACATTACGAGCAGTTCAATATAAAATGGACCGAACACTGGCGTGCATCATCTCGTTCTGATGTGTCGTCTCATGACTGGCGCATGCCTCACCGGAGTCGCACGCTGCCAGCGTCTGTCGGCCGACGCTCACGTGAGAGGCGCGGCCAGACTTCTCCTGGCCCGAGGACTGCAGACACAGGCGGCGCCAGCTCTTGCTGAAGAGCAGCACCGAGCCGTCTCGGTACAGTGCCAACAGGCGGTCCTCCGCCGCCGAGAGCTGCAGGGGGAGAACATTCATGCTCGGGCCACCAAACAAAGCAGTCGACAGCAAATATATTAAACATCAGCGACAGATCCACGAGAATGTCACGTGATCGCGGAAGACAGGTAGTTTAAACCAAGCCAAAAAAGGGTCACAATATATCTTAGAATGACAAATGACCATCAGTTATGTCTTAGATGACAATGTTTAACAAAAAGCTGTACAGGGGCCGTGTCAAGAATGCACTTTTTTGTCTCACAAACAGTTGTTAGGGCGAAAACTTCGTGCCATTGGGATAGAGGGCAAATGTTTTAAGTGGTAAACTCCTGCAAACTTTTACAATCCCAACAGAACGCGAAAGTGTGCTCAACGTTAAACGAAGAAGCTGCCTTCTAACATGGAGTGTCTTTACCCATTATAACCAACACTGTCCACAGGAAACAAGCCCATTAGTCAAGATGCATGCTGCCTGCCACTATCTGCCTGCTTCCAACCCCGGCATCAGCGCCGATTGTCTTTGACGGGAAATGGATTGCGCCGCCTCATCTGGCTCCTACAACGGCATTTGATGTCATCATCGAAATCGGCGGCCTCTTCAGAATTACCCGCTTGCTTCGAAAGTCCACTGCCGGTTTATGGTGTACTTTCTCGGTCTCGGTTTCCACACCAGCTAAGTACCAGAACAGAGTACAGAGGAAATGTTATGAAACGATGCGAAGACAGGCAGAGAAGTGTTCACGCGATGTATCATTGCCAAAACACGGTCTTCCACTTATCGGCTTACAGCCATCTGAGAATGACACAACGTATCACGCACATACGTTAGTTCCGTCCCCCCTGATATGATAGCATCATGTGCCATAGCAAATCTCAGTTGACCTACACACATCCGCCGCAACCCCCTACAACGGCGAAAGGTGGTTCGCTCATCACACGCATGGTGAAAAGGACACCGGTTTGGAACTGCGTTAAGGCTTTTCGGAGGTTATCACAAAGCATTTTACTCTTCGTGCCCTCCAGAAGCAGCGCAGGGACGACGTCGAACTTCATTGCATCAGCTTGGCCAGATAAGCCACTCTCAGGCTCACTGCCGGGCATTTTAAGCCACGTGGCGTCCATAACTAAAGACGTTGAGACGACCTTAGAGACCAAGCTCATCACGTAACTTCGGTGGATAAAAGCGTCAAAGGTGGTACTTCACATGTAATTTAGATCAGCTGCCAACGATGCGTTCATAATACGGCCAGAGTCGCGATCTTCCGGATCGGTGGCATCTATGAGCACAACAGATCGGGGCTCAGGGGGTTCGGCGACTCATTCACCACCTGGCACGGACGTACATCCGGCATCGGGCATCGCTGTGGTGATGGCAGCCTCCAGAGCGCTCTGCTGGAATGAGGACGCTTAATCCTACGCCGGATTTTCGTTCCTGGCTCTGTCCATCTTTAGACTGGCCGTGTGCTTACAATGTACCGGATGCCTTTAAGCGCAGCACAGCGCGCTCAAATATCACGAACTCTGTGACCAAATCTTCCTCAATTAAATTTAAGTCATCAGTCGAGCAAAGTATCTCATTAAAGAGCCAGCTTCTCCTGCTCGCGCAAAGGCTCCCCATTCGGGTGCATTTCCTGCTCCTGCCCCACATGCGTGCCGTGCAGATTTCTGCAATGGTCTAAGCTGCCTCTTAACGGTCACTAACAGCTGCATCTACAGCGCTGACATGTTCTCTCCATAACTTGTGATTTGTGCGCTTCGCCGTTATTGCTTCAAACTTTCACTTACGGGAATGACATACTGAAAACTGATACAACGTCACTTCTTTCAGTATAACGTCACGACACAGCTGTCCAGGCGCATTATACACGGACGGCCAAGCAACAAATGCTTCGTACCCCTCGGTATACACAAGAGGTTCCCGCCTGCTTCGCTGCGCCAGGATGCGACGTTGTTGGCGTCTGCAGCTCCGTCGCAACGCCGCAACATTGGCTGGTGTCTCAACAAAATGAGGCGGATCTCGGTTAAACTATGCACTTAGTCCGAGTTTTCCTCAAAAGGGAAAGGCAAATATCTAATTTGCTCCGAACACCTGCAAAGGTGAACCTAATTCCTGCGAAATCGCCCAGTTTGTAGTTAAAGTCACATTGCTCGGGAGCCCTGTGGCTCACGCGCCCACATCCCCGGACTTGGTTCCCGAGTCAACATTTGTAAGGGCCGTACTAAACTAATGAACCGCTCGGAAACCGTGCCCGTGCAGTGCTGTTCCACGCACTCGGCCCATCGGACATACACAATTTACTTGCGGTTTCCGCTTGTCTGATTGCGCGAAACGCTGCCGTCGTTGGCGTCGGTATAGCACCGTCTCTAACCACCTAACCACCACAGCGTGTCCAACTTCATTTTTGAAGATTCCAGTGCCTGCGTCAGCTGGCGGCCCCGCGCGCGTGAGCACGCTAACATTCGTCTAGCATTCTAACGAACACAATTTGCATTGATGTTCGAGCTTTGCGACATGTTTTCGGTGGCTCAGACCTTGCAACCATTGTTTCTGCTACAGATACGAGAACTGCGCCTGCTCTATACCACAACACATCCTCCCATCGCGCGCCGACGTCGACGCCGGCATCAAGCGACGAGAGTCTACATCAGGTTATGTCACAAGCTCGCAACCACCGTAAGCGCAAACTTCACGGCAGCCGCACAGCTGTCTGTGCTGTAAGTTTGGCTCCAGACATGCGGAAAGACAAACGGGCGGCTCGACGTAGGCTCGAAAATGAGGAAATCAGATGTTCCGGAACATGCCATGGTACGTAGCGTATCATCGGTCAGTTACCTGCGTGTAAGTCTCCCCTCCCCCTCCCCCCCCCCCCCCCCCCCCCCCCCGACAACACAACGCCAACGGGGATAGCACAATCGTCCTGCCTTTTCACGCCATGTCCCCGTCTCTTCCGCTCCAGCCAAGTGCGCCTGTCCTTCCACCTCCCTACCTTTTCGGCTTCAGCTAAGCGCGCTTGTCCTGCTACCTCCCCACCCCTAACTCACCCGCCAAGCACGCCTGTCCTGCCCCTTCCCCCCCTCCCCCCCCCCCCCCCCCCCCCCACCCCACCTCCTCCGCTCCAGCCCAGCACGCCTGTCCCACATCCCCGTCTCTTTTGTTCCAGCCACGTACGTCTGACCCGTCACCTCGCCATCTTTTCCACCTCTTCCACTCCAGCCAAACACGCCTGACCCGTCACCTCGCCACCTCTCCCACTCCAGCCAACCGCGCCCGACCCGTCACCTCGCCACCTCTTCCACTCCAGCCAAACACGCCCGACCCGTCACCTCGCCACCTCTCCCACTCCAGCCCACCGCGCCTGACCCGTCACCTCGCCACCTCTTCAGCTCCAGCCAACCACGCCTGCTCGTCAGTGGCGGTCCGCGGAACAGCAGGCACGCGACTAGATTCCGGCTGAGCAGGCATGACAGGCCAGCCACACACATTATCTAAGTACTATGGGGTCAGAAGTTGCAATTGGGTCCAAGGCTAGCACCACGTTTTTTACTAGTTTTCAGCATGGCATGCCTGGTGAGGACTTCATGGGGTTTCTCTCTCTGTCAGCTGTATAAGGTATGAAAATAGCAAAGTGTGTCATGGATTGAGTTGCCTAACTTGAAGCAAATTTTTAAGGGGTTTTGCATCAACTGTTCTGCACATTAGTAGTGCACTTTTTCAGGCTTTTGTCAGAATATTTTTTTGCAGACCTAATGACATGATGCTCTCACTCACATCACTTATTCCATAATGGAATGCCCCACTGCAGTACTGTATAATGGAATCCAGTCCAAAATAAAGAATTTTCATTCTGCCTGCTGTTTCTATCAATTACACCCTTGGAACAAAGAAAGTATAGTTCACTATGAGCTAAAAAAATTGTGATCAAAAGTATCAAATGTGAACAGGTTGCATGCCATATAGGTTTAACCCGGCTCACAGTTGCAAAGGAAAACCCCTTACCATTACTGGATCTTCATTCTTGAACTCTTCAGGTGGTGGAATTTCACTGTCATTCTTCTTGATTTGTCCTGATTTTAAAAATTGTGATGGGAATCCACTTTATATGAACAACTGCCATCAAGATCATTCCAGATAGATGGATATGATGTACAAAAACAATACCATAATAAAGGCATTCCAGTAAACAATAAATGGCACCAACATTGCGATAACACTTTTAGTATTGTACCCATTTATACCCAGTTCAAAATTTACTCATCTTTAGTATCCTACAAAATGAGGCTATTACATGGCTGGAAAACTGTAGTAGAACAAGAGATAAATGGTGACAGTTTACTGATTTCAACTTATATTGTCACAACTCAATAACATTTTTGCACAATACAAAACACAAAAGTCACATATTATTTACCTTGTGTATGATAGACATACACTGAGTCCCAACATACAGCAAAACTGGACTTGCTGTCAACTCCACAAGCTATTCTAACCCATGATGTTTTGTATCCGTCATCTGAGCTATCAAGCTGGTGCAAGCCATTAAAACCACAGCCATATAATTCATTTGAAGCATCTTGCTGGTCTTGCTGAAAATCCATGATCTGCCAAATACCCAGAGCATGGCAGCATGCATGAGGAGCAGCGATACAGCATCAATAGAAATCTTATGCACCACTGTTTGAAGATAATCTTGTCCTCAACATATCTGATCATAATCTGACCCTTTTGGCAGGTGTAATAAATGCCAGGCCACATAGATGCAGAAGAATATGCCTATCTGGATGTCACAAGTTTTAAATCTCCTGGGAAGCATCTCTGGCCCCCTGCTGTATGAATGCCTACAAAAATTAGAAGAGTGTCAGAGTTAAAACAGTCATAAGCATGACCATTCTGGTGAACATTGGTGGTGTATGAGCACACTACGTGGCAGTGGTGGCAAGATGTGGAGCTGGCCAAGGCTGGGTTTAGATTACAAACATCGCCCATCTGCAATTCCACACTCCCGAAGCGACAAAAAACAAAGTGACTTTCTTGTGAGACACAGGATCTATGAACACGACACGGCCAGCACCGGCCTATCCATTTTAAGTGGGTGATAAGCAGGGAGTTGATACCAATATTTCAGAATATAAAACCCATTACGACATGATATATTCTAACCTCGCAATTACAGCCCATTCATTACAACCACTTGCTGTGCAAGATCCGTGTCAGCTGCGCCAGACACGAATTACAAAAATCCCTGCCATATTACCAAAATCCTTTGTGAAGGCTGGTGTGGTCCATTTGATCGCAGACTGGACTTTTTGAGTTCTTATCAAACGACATCTTTTGACCATAAGCATCAGGATTTAAGCTTCAGAAAATATGAAAACTACGCCAATTTCATTGTTGCATCAAGTTATCTATTGAATATGAACTTGACACCGCCCTAAGAATTCCAAATATAAATTTATTTAAGAAATGTACGAGAAAACTATTGCCATGTTTAGTGACATATATGACGGGAATAGCTTGTTTCCGCCGCACCACTTTTACTAAGGCTGAACTCGGGGCTATTGAACAGGTTACCTGGCGGGCTCTAGTCAGCCCGGGATGCGGTATGGGGTTGGTCTGCACCGAATTATACGATTCGGGGCCCCCTTGTGGAGGTACGATGATACATATCAAGCCATTGAGTCCATGGCTACCAAAAGGGGAATTTAGTAATGTTAATTCAAGCGTGATGAAGATCATGTGATGGTTTGTGAGAGCATGTTTCGCTTGCATGGCGGTCACTAATTTTGATTGAAAAAGTTTAGGGCTGTTGTCAAATTTTTGTGGTTTCGTGGTTGGTGGTGTATGCGATTCCAAGCAAAAGAAGTGAGAATGTCAATAATAGTTCAGCTTTAATCTATAATTGAAGAAAAATGTAGGGTGAAATTGGAAAGGATATTTATCTTAACATCCATGATTCAGCATACTGTCCCTTTTCAAATCCAGTACACGATTATGACAGAATGATATTAGGTCAGGGTGTACTTTCCTACCTAACATTAGAAAAAATCATTGTACACCATTCGTCGTGTTTAAGGCATGACATCGTAAATAATCTCAAAACAGGTAGAATCATGCTCCTACCTTCAAATTTCAATAACTTGGATGGCGGGCCCCCGAGCGCCGCGCTCACCGCACCGCCTGGACTCTCCAGCGCTGTTTCCGCATTGCCGTTGTGTAAATACAATATTTCTGCGTACCAAGAACTGTACAAAATGTACGGGACCAAAGTAAACCATTTGTCATGTTTAAGGCAGGACAACCATAACCTAACTGCGAACCATAAAAATATTTACTAAACATAAACCATATTTACCATAACCATATTTACCATATAAACCATATTAACTGCGAACCATACTATAAACCATAACTATAACTATAAACTATACTATATAAACCATACTATAACTATAAACCATATTTACTGTGAACCATAAAAATGTACCGGGACAAGGTAGCAAGAATCCATGAAATTTGATCCTCGACGCCAACGGGACCATGGGTTGCAGGGGATTGGGTGGGGAATGTAAAGCAAAATGAGAACATGGCAGCTAAATAAAAGCTCACTATATGGCACCTATATATGGCATGGAACATGGATGCCAATGAGATGCTGGGTTGAAGGGGATATAGGGTGGGGAGGTTAGGTTAGGTTAGGTTAGGTTAGGTTAGGTTAGGTTAGGTTAGGTTAGGTTAGGTTAGGTTAGGGTAGGGTAGGTTAGGTTAGGTTAGGTTAGGTTAGGTTAGGTTAGGTTAGGTTAGGTTAGGAGGTTAGGTTAGGTTAGGTTAGGTTAGAATAGGATATGTTCTGGACTATTCTGGCCTGCGTGTTTCATAAATGTACCTAAACTCGATAAGAAACGATTTTGGTTGCTTTATTATTGTTACCTTGGTCCCGTACATGTTTTATGGTTCTTGATAAGCAGAAATATTGCGCAACAACGTAGAAACGGCGCTTGGAAGTCGAGGCAGTGTGGTGCGGGGCGTGCGGCGCTTGGGAGCTCGCTATCGTATTTATTAAAATTCGAGGGTAGGAGCATGATTCTATCTGTTTTGAAATTATTTACGATATGTTCCGCCTTAAACACGACGAATGGTTTACCTTGATCCCGTACATTTTGTAGAGTTCTTGGTAAGCAGAAATATTGTATTTACGCAACGGCGACGCAGAAACGGCGCTGGGGAGTCCAGGCGGTGCAGTGCGCACGGCGCTCGGGAGCTCGCCATCGAAGTTATTGAAATTCGAAGGTAGGAGCATGAGTCTACCTGTTTTGAGATGATTTATGATATGTGCCGCCTTAAACACGACGAATGGTGTGCAATGATTTTTTCTAACGTTAGGTAGGAAAGTACACCTACACCTGATATTATCAATATTCTGATGCTTTGGGTTCACAATTTTGATGCATGACTATGCATCCATGACTCGGGCATTGTAGTGGCCATGCCATGCGCAATGTGCAATGACAACATTTTTTTTTGTGCTGAGAATTGTATCAACAATTGCCTTTGATTCAGCATAACCTAGCCTTACTGCACTCTTTTTCTACACCTGTCTCTTCCCCTACTCTTACTATTACTCCTACTTTCATCCTTACCCTACCCCACAGCATGGATTTGTTTTTAGCATTGAATACTTACACTAGTGCATTTGGTTATCCCCTTTGGACATTAACACTAGGATGAAACCTATTGGGTGGTTAAATTTGACAAACTCAGGTGCAGTTGGGGTCAGTCTGACATGAGCCGGATCTCAAAACTAAGAGCTGGATATGCCAAATTCACAGCTCTGCTAGTGAGGGCACCATGGCTCTATTTGAACTAATTTGTGTTCAGTTTATGGTCACTTAAGATATAGGAGATAACTTATCTTAATAACTTAGATCACTTAAGATAAGGAGATAACAAACATTCTTTTAGGCTTTCAGCCCTATGTGACCTTTGAGGTCAAGATAAGGAATTTGTTGATATTCTTGTAACTGAAGGATTAAAAATGAGCATCAAAATCTACTTCATAAAGCTTATGCATAAATTTCCAGCATAAAAGTGCTTTGGCTTGTCCTTGATCTGACTTTCAGGCCTAGCATGCCAGTGGAATTATTATAAGCCTAGATTCAGTTGTGGAATTAGGTAATGAACTGTACTTGAGTTGTATGACTTTGTATAGCTCTCCATTGTTGCATCAGCTTGAAATATTCCTGAGGAGTCACATTCACCAACAACCATGACTTGGTTTTTGCCTGCTACAAGTGACCTTTTAGCTAATGTGTTTGGAAATATTTGCTAACATGTCTCAGCAAGTTTAGTTGTTGCCAAACATGTAAGTACTGATTTCATTTTTCCAATGATAACCACATATGAATTTTTGTTCAAATATTAGTGTAGTCCAAATCCTGGGGTTTAGTGCAGATGGTGAGTTTGGGTTGCTTGTCTCACATCACATGAGGGCTCCAAGTGCAGTTATGTGCCTTGCTTTCATTTTTCAGATCGAAGATATTGCCAGATTGTGGTTGCAGTCAATCCCTGCACTGTACAAAAGTGGTGATGGCAGATGATAAGCGACCACAGTTTGGAAACAGGACACTCAAAGATGCTGATGATGTCTTCAAACATAATGCTTGGTGAGTGGTATGCAGACATTTGCTCTTGCTGTGATGTTTGGTGCTGTGGGCAGATATATGAAGAAGCATGTCTCCACAATCATTTGATGTCTGAGTTTCCCCTTCAACAACTTTGATAACTCATAGCATATATTTTCACAGTAAAAACGTACAGGACAGTCTTTGGGTTCACAACTATGTAAGCACAATAGAAATTACATCCAGCAATCAGCAGTTTTGTTGAAAGTATAACTTGTGTCATGCATGATTTCATTTATGTTGACAACTGCCTTTAAACAGGGATAATGTGGAATGGGATGAAGAACAGCAAGAAGAGGCCCAGAGAAAGATTGATGAAAATGCCAGTGTGAAGGCTGAACCAGACAAGGTACAGCAGCTGGTCGAATCTCCGAATGTCTTCTGGGATGCATTCTACGACCAGCATGATAACAAGTCAGTAAGCTTCCATCATCGCAGACTTAACTGTGATGCAATTTTGGTTTATCACCTTACAGCAGGCTGTAAGACCACGATGCGAGATGATAGTACCAACACATCCATGTTTTAACAGCAAATAGCATCACGCATCGCCCGTTCACATTAAAGCCCTTGCGGGTGCTCGGCTAAAGACATGCCGTGTTGAAATGCGGAAAAGGGGATCACGAGCGAGAGGCACTACGATCCAAATCTCAAGCGCCTGCACGTGCACACGTTGAACTGGATCTACGTCTCGGTAGGTTCTTTAAGGACCGAAATTGGCTGTTTACCGAGTTCCCTGAGCTCGGCGAGAAGAACAATTCTGAAGACTCAGCACCTCAGGTAAAGTTGGCCTCCGTGTCTCCCGTTTCGTTGGATTCACGCGAAAATTCGTACCCCTATTTCTTCGCGATATCTTTGTAGTGACCTGCAACACACGAGAGGTGGTCGGCGGGGTTGGATTAATTGTTCACCCGTGCTCTCATGTTGCTGTTCCATGCGTGTTTCTCTACCTGTAGCTGCTAAACCTGCACGGGATGTTGGCTTTTACCACTGGAACCACGATCTCGTGCGCGGCCACCTTCGCTCCGGATTTCCCCAGTCATGGACCAGAAAACTATCTCAAGACGATACCACACGTCCTTTCACGGATTTCACCCAGCGGTGTGCTCACGCGCTGCGGACGGTGACACCGTGCTGTGACGTCACCAGAAGTCGGGGGCACCGTACCCGGGCCGTGACGCCCTGCGGCGCGTCTGGGAGGTGGGCTGCGGCGTCGGCAACACCATCTTCCCGCTGCTGGAGACCAACGCGGACCGCCGCCTGTTCGTCTACGGCAGCGACTTCTCCGAGTCGGCCGTGCGCATTGTGCGGCAGGCGCCGCAATTCGACCCGGACCGGTGGGTGGCCCTGACCCGGACCGGTGGGTGGCCCTGACCCGGACCGGTGGGTGGCCCTGGCCCGGACCGGTGGGTGACCCTGACCCGGACCAGTGGGTGACCCTAACCCGGACCGATGGGTGGCCCTGGCCCGGACCGGTGGGTGACCCTGACCCGGACCGGTGGGTGACCCTGACCCGGACCAGTGGGTGACCCTGTCCCGGACCGGTGGGTGGCCCTGGCCCGGACCGGTGGGTGACCCTGACCCGGACCGGTGGGTGACCCTGACCCGGACCAGTGGGTGACCCTGACCCGGACCGGTGGGTGGCCCTGGCCCGGACCGGTGGGTGACCCTGACCCGGACCAGTGGGTGACCCTGACCCGGACCGGTGGGTGACCCTGACCCGGACCGGTGGGTGACCCTGACCCGGACCAGTGGGTGACCCTGACCCGGACCGGTGGGTGGCCCTGGCCCGGACCGGTGGGTGACCCTGACCCGGACCGGTGGGTGACACCGACCGGTGCGTGGCCACTGACCCGGGCCAGTGCCTGAACGCGCGGCCTGTCCCGCTGTATGCGGACGTGCACGGTCTTCATGCTCAGAAGTAAAAGCCAGCCTACGTCTTCAGAAGCGCGACACTGGTGATCAGCAGCGGGAGCGCTAGAACCCCTGGTCGCAGGGTTTGACTGGCCTCGTCCGGTCCCGCCTCCCGGTAGTTTACAGTCTCCGTGATTGTGCTGCGCTCGCCTGGTGTGGGTAACCCACAGGTCAGACGTTGACCGCGGCTATTGTCTGTACGCCGCGCAAGTGCGACTAGGGCGGCGGGCAGTGTCCGCGCCAACCTGTGTGCTGGAGGCGACCTGTACGCACTGCTGGCAGGTGTCACGCGTTCGTGATGGACGTCACTGACGAGGCGGCCTCAGTGCCGTTCCCCGAGGCCAGTCTGGACATCATCGTGCTGATCTTCGTGCTGTCGGCGTTGCACCCGTCTCAGTGAGTAGGGACGGCACAAGGATCAGCGCCGGAGATGAATTCGAAGTTGTCTTGTGGTAGTCATGATCACAAGCTGCATGCGCGTACCTTCTCTTGGGTTTCGGCATATGAGAAATGGCGTGAAGTAAAATCGGTTTTGTGGAATGCCTTGGTGGGAACGCTTTGTCAGAGGCTTTGCATCCCACATTTCGTCTGCCTAAAAGTTGCAGTATATTGTACGAAATGCTAGCCGCGGTAACTGTAATCGACACTTCGTAAAAATGATGGTATTGAACGAAGTCATGATCCATGGCTGACCTACGCGGTGGCCGAACGGTGATATCAGGCGACATGCTGCCACCTTTTGACCGCGCCTATAACTTGCAGTCACGAGTCGGTCGCTAGGCGGCTGGCGCGCTACCTGCGGCCGGGAGGCACGATCCTACTCCGCGACTACGGTCGCTATGACATGGCACAACTGCGCTTCAAGCCAGGCCGCTGCCTGCAGGACAACCTGTACGCCCGCGGCGACGGCACCCTGGTCTACTTCTTCACACAAGGTGAGCACGTGAAGCAGGTAAGAACTTTTGAGGCAAACCTGATAATGGTCAATATGGCAATGCCGGGCCTGGCATGTAACAGCGTGAAAGATCAAATCGTAAGCTGTTGCCGCGGGTGCTGCAGTTGTGTATTGAGTCCAGGGTCGACTCGTGTTCCTCGACTCGGAGCCGTGCTGTTCACGCGGAGTGAAGTTTAGAGCCGTCCTGACCCTGTCACGCGCTGGTGACCGGTCCTCTCTCGGTCTTCCCTCCGCCAGAGGAGCTGCGGGGACTGTTCCTCGGCGCCGGCCTAGAGGAGGTGCAGAACCACGTGGACCGGCGCCTGCAGGTCAACAGGGGCCGCCAGCTCAAGATGTATCGCGTCTGGAACCAGTGCAAATACCGCAAGCCGGCGGACACCTCGTGACGCCGCCAGGCGTACCCAAATACAGTGTATATCCGTGTCGCACGCCGTGTATGTCGGGGTGATCAGGGAGTGAGCGGCGACTACAGGCGAACGAGGGCGCAGCGCGGGCCGCCGGCGGGTCAGCTGTGCCCGCACGCGATCAGGTCGCCGTAGTAGGCGGTGATGGTCTTGATCTTGCCGTTGAGCAGGTTCTGCTCTATCTCCACGCTGCCGCCGGGGCCGGCCAGCGCCGTCAGCTGTGGACAGGCGGCTAGGTTCAGCCCGGCTAGGGTCACCAATCGCACCCGGGGTCACCGATCGTGCCTAGGGTCACGGTCACCAGCCACGCCCTGGGTCACCGTCCGCCCCCGGCGTCACCGGCCCGCCCGGCAGCGCTCACCGCCGACGCCGCGGCCCTCTCCCGATGATGCACAGCTACCCACCAGCAGACGGGTGGGCCCTGAACGTTAGTAGTCCGGATACAACGGAAACAAGGCAGTGGAAACACGCTACGATGACACGGCTGCACGGCACCGGGTCGGTGCTGCGTGACATCCGTGGTGCCGTTCGCGGCGGAGCACGCCGGCAAGTGGCGGTGGCGCTCCCACCTGATGCGTGTTGGCGTTGCGGGGCGCCAGCAGGGCGATGTTGGACGACACCTGACGGGCGGCGCGCATCATGTCCCGGCCGTCCATGGAGCCGTCCAGCCGGTACACGTCGTACACGTCGGCGTCGCAGTACTGGGGACCTGCCGGAGGTGACGGTCGCGCCGCTGCGGTCACCGAGCCGCGGAGCCGCTACACGAGGGAGATATCTGAATGGTGTCACGCCGCAGCGCGGGGTGTTCTGAACACGAGATTTGTGGCTGCGAGCGGAAGACCCTGACGACTCGCCTCCGGAACCTTACGAGACACTGACCTCGTCGAACCGGTGCCGGTGACAACAACCAAACGGCCCACCATACTTGATAACACCAGACCGGTGGCGCCCCCACTCGGGAAGCACCACACCAGCGACGTCTCCATTCGGGCAGCACCAGACCATTTACGCCCTCACTCGGGCAGCGCCAGACCAGTGACGCCTCCGTTCGGGCAGCGTCCGACCAGTGACGCCTCCACTCGGACGGCGCCAGACGGGTGGCCCGTCCAGCCCGGGCAGCGTCAGACCACTGACCTCCCCAGGGCGGCGAGAGGAAGACGGCGTCGGCGCGCAGCCGCGGCGCCAGCGTGAAGAAGTCGCCGCGCACGAACTCGATGCGGTCCCGCACGCCGTAGACGGCCGCGTTGTGCCGCGCCAGCGCCAGCTGCTCAGCGTCGATGTCGATGGCGATCACTGCCGGCAGGCGCCGCGCCACCGGTCATCGGCGCCACGCTGGCTCGAGGCCGCTGCTGAGGCTCGGGCGCTCACGGGGACACGGAGCCACCGGTCACCGGCGCCACGCTGGCTCGAGGCCGCTGCTGAGGCTCGGGGCGCTCACGGGGACACGGAGCCACCGGTCACCGGCGCCACGCTGGCTCGAGGCCGCTGCTGAGGCTCGGGCGCTCACGGGGACACCAAGTCACTGGTATCCATCCGGCGGGATGTCAAGGGCGAATGTGTGTACTACCATCGAATGTCTCGCGTCCCGCAGCCTTCTCATAATTGTCGGAAGAGCGAGTTTTCGTTCCCTTGAGCTGGCCCCGTTACGATAATCTGCCGAGCTCGGCATATGCCTAATCAGCCGATAAAGACCGCCGGTGAGCGCGGGCACGAGGTCCTCTGACACACGTGGGCCCCCCACGGAGCGAGGGTGTCGAACCGGGGCATTAGCGGGACTGACCTCGTTCGCAAGTGAAGGCGAACTGGATAGCGTTGCCGCCGGCGCCGCAGAAGGCGTCGACGATGACGTCAGCACGGCAGCGGTCCGCCAGGTGGCGCGCGATCTGCTCCGGCGTCACCGAGAACCAGCTGGGGCCGCTCAGTCGCACGCCCTCGTCAAACCTGGGGACGGCCGGCGCCGAGAGCGCGTATCAGCAGAGTCAAGGCACGTGACCCCGCCGGCCCCGCGAGCCGGGGGTGTGGCTAAACAGGAACCTTCGTCAAATGCAGGGGCACGGCCGTGTCTGCCGCTCGCCGCGGCTGGGCGACGGAGGCGGTGCGTTCCCGCGGGTGAACCCGATCCGATCTGACCGAGGAAGCGCTCTGAGTTGGCACGCACACCGATAGCAGTGGCGATCTAGTGTGGCGCCACCGCCCGGGGCTGCTCCGCACCGTGCGGCCTCTCACCTGGAGAAGAGCCGGTACCGCTGGTACCAGTACTTGCGCAGCTCGGCGGAGTTCTGCATCTCCTCGGGCGCGGGCCGGGCGGCTCGACTTCGTTTGCCCCCCGCTTGGCGGCGACCCTGACCCTGGCCGCGGGCCGCGGGTCGCTTCTGAATGGCGTCGGCAGCCCCGCTCCCCGCGGCGGGTGGGTCAGTGGCCTTGGGTTCATCGTCCTGTTTGCCGGGGTCATTGGCCTCAGGGTGAGTGACCTCGCTAGCAACGTCGGCCGATTCGCTGGTAGGGTGAACGGATTCACTGGTACTGTCACGCTCTTCGGCCGGCTTCGTCTGCTCCGCGCTGACGCCATTCGGCCTCTGTTCCGACTGGAATGCGCCAATCAGGTTCTGCGCCTGAAGGATTGCAAAGGGGCGTTGGTTCCATGAAACGTTAATAACACAGTACGTTGGTTCCGTAAAACTGCACGCTAATTAATTCCAACGCGTTTGTTTTACACTGCAAGGAGCTCTGTCTGCTTTAACATCACGAAACGACACAGGCTCTCAAACGACGACGACACAGGCTCTCAAACGACGACACAGGCTCTCAGCCCGCCGACGTGGACTGCTGACAGGTTGCTAGCTGGCCGGCGCTGCCCAGACTTCAGTAGCACAAAGTCTGCACCTTTTTGACCAGACTGTCGTGGCTGAATGCCGTCTTTGTCATGTTGAGCGCGCGGGTCTTCTGCTTGAGCCGCTTCTGGCGGTAGGTGACGTGGGCGGCGGCTGGCCGGGCGGCGTCCTCAGTAGCTGCGTGGCAGAAGCCCAGCATCGCTAGCGCGCCCTCGGCAAACTCCAGCGTGCCCGGCCGCCTGTCGGCACGGCGTCTGGTCAGCGGCCGGTCAGCAATGGTGGGTCAGCGGCGTCGGCGCAGACGGCACCCGAGACAAAGGCGACGGCACAGCAGGTGTCCGGTTGGGACGCTGCTGCAGACAGAACCCGAGACCGGGGCGGCGGTACAGGTGTCCAGGTTGGCACGCTGGTGCAGACAGAACCTGAGACCGGGGCGGCGGTACAGGAGGTGTCCAGGCTGGGACGCTGGTACAGGCGAGACTGCAGTGCGCGATGTCGGTATGAGGCATCCACACGGAACAGACTAGTCAGGGGGGCGGGGGGCATCCAGACAGCGTCATGTCATGTGACTGATCTGTGTATCATCGATTTAACTGAATAAGTGACGTTCTGTCGAGTGACAGCGCGCCTCAATCAAATGTTTCATGTATTCCGTATCGATATCTAGTCCACGACGATTCATCATGCAACAATTAATGCTACGGATGCGGCCCTGTATATATGTATATATATATATATATATATATATATATATATATATATATATATATATATATATATATATATATATCGTGTATAAATGTAAACAAACTGATGCAATTTTATGCTCATCCAACAAATTCGCAGACACGCTCATGATTTTCGGTGTGGTGCATATATATATATATATATATATATATATATATATATATATATATATATATATATGCACCACACCGAAAATTATGAATGTGTCTGCGAATTTGTTGGATGAGCATAAAATTGCATCAGTTTGTTTACATTTATACACGATTTTCATCGCAAGCGTTATAACCACAACAAAGCCCCAGCTCACACCGGCTTTTTACCCCAAGCTGACGTCCACCTCTTCAGCCGAGTCGTCCACAGCGCACTCTCCTTTCCCAGCAGTAGGATCGAACGCATCGGCAGGCACCGTTCCGTCGGCTGGCCGGTGATCTGTGGCGTCACCCGGCCGGATATCTGTGACGTCATCAGAGGCAGCCTCAGTCGGCCGGCGGGCGGCCGTGGTGGGTTCCGATGGCTCCTGCAGCTGCTGCAGCAGTGCGCCCACGCTGTTCAGCTTCATTTCCCTGCAACAGGAAAGTCTGTTGTCATGGTCGCCGGGGTGGACGGAGACATTTTGAATCTGGGGATCGACGGCTACAGGGACGCGCGCACGGTGCTCGTGCGCAACGAAAGACGGACGAAATACGTTGCTTCTCATCAATCACAGACACGTCAAACCTTCACCTACTGACAAAGTTCTCATCACAAAAACATACGCTTCGCTCTAACGCATGCGCCACAACGATCACCACACAAAAATCATGCTACTTAGAGCCATAAGCATTAGTAACCAACATACCTTGCTTTTCTGGATGACGCGTTTCGTTTCTTCTTGGCGCTAGCCTTCCTCTTGGAGTCGCTGGAGCCGTCGGGGGCACCGTTCGGCAGCCCTCCGTCGGTGTGGCCGCCGTCCGCCGCCGCCGTCCTGCCATGCTCAGCCCTAAATTCGGCCAGCATGCGCTCGTACACCTGCTGGTAGTGCTGCTGCCACAGCTCGTCCCACGAGTACTCGCCGCCCGGCTGCGGCGCGTCCTCCGCCGCCGACTGGTCGGCAGCAGACGGTTCGACCGAGCCCCGATCTCCCGCTGGGCGCTGGTCGGCGGCTGACTGGCCCTCCACCTGGGACTGATCTCCACCCATGGACTGACCGTCTGCCGTGGGAGGGTCATCCGCCGTGGACCGCGGCTCCGCTGGAGGCCCATCCACCGCCGACTGGTCCGCAGCGAGCGGCGGCTCTTCGACGGCCGACGGGTCCGACGCTGTCCCACACTCTCCGACCGCCTCCTCCCCCATGCCGGCCTGCCGCTCCCTGGCGCCAGCGCCGGACTCCGCTGCGCTGGCGCCCTCCACGCTCGCCAGGTACGCTGGTTCGATGTAGTCGCGGTACTTCTCGGTCCAGGTTTGCAGGACGGTGGCATCGCCACAGCTGCTCCAGTGGGCCTCCCAGCGGCGCCAGAACTCGGCCGAATCGGGCCGCTCGTACGGCTGGCGGCGGAGGCAGCTCGGTCATCGGGGATGGGCTCGAGCGGCGAACAGCACGGCCAGAGGGAGCGAGTGAGGTCAGGGGCGAATGCTAGGTCAGAGACGGGTCCAGACGTGACGGCGGGGTCTGGGGTGAGCGATGAGTAGTCAGGCGTGATTTGAAGGAACGGTTGGAACGTGAACAGGAGAGGTAGAGCGGGCACAGGCCGAAGTGCAGACGAGCATGGAAAGGTTCCGGTGTGAACGGCGGTAAATATCATGAATGAATACGGGGAACGACGTGTGCAGACTAGGGAAAGGATCAGATACGTCAGACAGACAGAAAGAAAGAACAGACAGAAAGAACACGGACAGTCTCTCAAATGACAAGGAATACGGAAACGGTCCGGACTTTTAACACGAAGAAGGGTGTTCATTTAAAGGGAGGAAGAAAACGGAGGAGTCCGAGCAAAAACGGTCATGATATCCCACGTAGACTGTTTTGTCCGAACGATTTCATGACACATAATCCACAAAAAACAACACACATAACGCTTCAAGCAACGTCTATTCGCCTGCGAAATGGTGCCGCGTCGCCGCCGCGCGCGGCGTCCGACCGCGGGTGTGGACGGCGCCGTGTCGCGCACCTGCCACTCCAGGCTCGGCTCGCCCCGGCCGCCTCCGTAGTCGCACCGCAGCCACTCGAGCCCGCCCGGCGACGAGGAGCGCTCCGTCCCACCAGACGTGCACGACGTCGTGACCGAGCGTGGTGACGTCACACAAGCATCCGGAGGCGACTGCGGTGACGTCACACAGGCGTTCGGCGGTGACTGAGATGACGTCGCACCGGCGTCCGGCGCTGACTGCGTCACTTGGGACGCGATGACGTCATGCTGAGGCTGGGCCGGTGGCGCCCGGCAAGCAGTAGCCACCCACTCCTCCTGCAGAACGGCATAGCCTTGAGATGGATGTCTCGGTGCTGTACTGCCTGTGACACAGCCAGCTTCCTGCACTAAGCACCAAGATGGCAGTGGACTATACAAGACCAAGTGGATGTCTGCAGTGCAACATGACAGGCTTATATTGTAAGTGGGCAGATTTGCACAAATGTCAGCTAGGGGATACACACAGCTGATGAACATGCAGCACATGTGCTTCTCTCCAAGCTGGAAACAGCATGAGTCTTTATGGGCACTTACCTCCAAGTCAAGTGCCTGGTGGTTTGTGAAGGAAAGAGGCAGGCCCATAGCCTTCATGGCCTCAATATCTTGCTGGTACTCACTGCTGTATTCTTGAATAGGTGCTTCATACAGCTTTGGCAGTTTGCCAACAGGAGGAAGGGTGCCATCCAGAACTCCACCTGCTTCCACGTCAGGTCTGCTCTCACAGGTCTCTGGTTCACACTCACAATCCTCTGCCCCATCCTCATAGTCTTGCTGTCTTCCCTCATAGTCATCTTGCCTGTCATCATATTCCTCTGGCTTGGTGTCCAGTGAGCCCTGTCCTATTTCTGTCAAGTCCACTTCATCTGCCATCCTTAGATACTTCCAGTCACTGCAGAAATTTCAAATGTGCTGAAGAACATGTCAGACAGTATAGCTGTATCTCCATGTACCAAAACAGCATGTCTGTTACATAATTACACTCTTCAATGAATCTACTTCCAGCCCAAAATATGGTTCCATCAATCATAGCATGCAAAGTACTGCAAAATTAACAAGTCAAATGCACAGAGAACATCATTCAGATTGTCAAGGTGATTGTCACATTTGGTGATTGTCAATTGTCACAACATATCATTCAGGTCACAATTACACAACTTTGAACGCAACAAAAAACCCACCTGATGAACTGACGGGAGAGGAAGCATGAACTCTTCGTTCCGGACCCTTCTTTATCAGTAAAAAATATGTAAGCTAGTTCTTCCCAATGACCTCTCATTCTTTCCTTCAAATGCTGCAATACTGGAAATTGAAGACTGTCACTCACTGCAATGACATTTTAGACTTCTGTTCATAAAAATTGCCTATTAACACAAGAACAAAACAAAAAACAAAATAGGACTTCAGCTGATCAACTCCGACATTCCACGCTTGCACGAACTTTGTGTGTACCAAGTCTACTTCTCATACAATGATGTTGCTTATTCACCATGGTTACATTAGTTTTGCTCTGTATTTGTGAAGAGTCAAATTTCAGGGTTTTTCCTGGCTTTATGTGAGCATTTGGCAAACAAATATTTTCTTTAACAATAAAAACACCCTCAGATGGAATAAAACAGCAGAACTATACCATGTGGTTGTACCATGGGTTGTAGGGGGGATGGGGTGGGGAATGGGGAGTAAAATAAGAACATTTTGAACACCAACAGAATGATGGGGTGTGGGGGGATTGGGTGGCGAGCAGCAACGACATGCATTAGCCAACATGTAAAAGTTCAAAAAATGAAATGGGTTTCATTGTGACTCGAAATAGCATGTACAGTCGCTATAACCGTGCCAATTACCATTAAAATGAATTGGAGCAAAATCGTGGGAGTCAATGAGCTCTTTGATCTTGAACTTTGATGACCTCTGGATGTTATCTTTCTAAACTTATGGTAAAGGAGATAAATTATCGTAATCAGCCCGCCAAACATCACCTGCAACGTGCGCTGCAGCAAGCACGTGGGGCTAAGGGTCCCTGCTCAGCGATATCTATGAATGTGAATACGAATGGCTTGCTGCCTTAAAAGATGCTATTACTGCGCATTTGCGACATAATCAACATGCATCGTTTTGTAAACAACGATCGAGTACATTTGCCTGCACTTGCCGCGACGCTTCGCCCGCTCCAAGGTGCTAGAACGACTTGGTTACTAGTCCATGTGGTCCACTTTGTACGCTTGGACAAAGAGCACTAGAAAAGCAGCCCTGACAGAGGTTAATAGTGGCTGAAAGTTTTCCCTGCGACTCAGCTTGGTCCTCTCCTTTGCGTGGTTACGTTTCTCGACGACATAAACAACAGGTGTGCTGCTTTCTCAGGTTAAGTTGTGGATGCTAGGATCCAAAAGTGTGCGCAACCCACATTAAGTCATCACATTGATCATCATACATTAGAGGTCTGGGAAGTGTGTGACATACATGGGCAACACCAAATCTTCCACCAAGTGTTTATGTGTAGTTGTGAGTTGATTGCACATGCATTTGCCTCAGATAGGTTGTCTTTTATTTTGTTTCCTGCATTGAATAACTTGTATTCTATTGCGGTGGCATAGCCAGGAACATCTCCAGGAGGGCAAAGTCAAGATTTAAATGGTCTCTTAGTCAGGTGGCCACACTTTGTTGTTATTTTGGGAATCATGGGTTTTATTTAATGAGCATTTGCTATGGTTGGAATCAAATTGTGTTGCCTGGAGGGCTCATTGTGATGTCATAGGAGCACTTTGGCCATTTCACCTCCAAAAATTACTGGGGACCTCGGCCAGAGCCCTGAGTGGACCCCTGCCCCCCCTAGGAAGGGGCAAAGACCCTGAGTACCTCTTGGCTATTCCACTGTTTGACTGCTACTTTGCAACATTGAAAGGCTGGACAGGATTTGTAAGAACAATTATGTCCTGCCTGTGGTGTGGCATGCATGTTTTGATGCACAAACACCATGCTAATGCATGGCAAAAAAATACATAAGTACAGATCATGATTGATGTTGGTATGTGACACTTCAATTTTAGATTGCTCATCAAGAGATGCTTTTAGATGAGACATTAGAATAATAAAACAATAATATTTTAAGGACATCTTATCATCTGACTACTTGCAAAACATTGTCACAAGATAAATACCATTCACTGTTGTTTCCAGACCCATGGGCTGTGAAAGCTGCAGTCCAGATGGACAAAACCATGGCCATGTGATGTATTTTGCATCACCTTTACATGTGAAGCTTTCTCTGAAGTTTTGAAGTCACAACTAAAAATGGCCAACACAGCAGCACTTCCTGCCTTGGTTTTATCCACCAGTGTATGATCGCTTGGCCGTCTGAAGGACCTCAGTGCGATGTCGGACCTCGGACTAGGGCAGAGTGGGTCGGTGGAGGATGCCGTAGCTGAATGTGCCGGAGAGGCCGCGCCCCGGCCGGCTCCGGAGGCCGGTCTCTGCCTGGTGTGCTCAGCCCCAGCCGCGCACGAGGCGCCGGAGCCGGCCCTGCGGATGGCGGCCGCCCTGCTCGGCGGCCCGGCGGACGCGGCAGGCGCGCTCTGTGGCCCGTGTGCGGAGCTGGCGGCCGAAGCCGGCCGGCTGCGCTGGCAGCTGGCTCGGCTGGAGGAGCGGCTGCGCCGCCGCCACCTGCCCGTCCTCTATCGCCGCCTGGCCGCGCACGGGACTCCGGCACGCTCGGCCTCGGACTGGCAGCCGGAAAACAATGGTAGCGGCCCCACAGATGGTGGCCTTGTTACAGGTGCGTGCTGGTATATTTCCGCTGAACGCGCTGCTCCGCGGAATATTGCTCCACTGACAGTTGTTTCGACTGTATCAGCCCAATTTTTGGTATGTCGGTAACAGCACGACCAAAACCCAGTGTCTGATCTCTCTGCCTTTAATTTTCAGTGTGCCTTGGTTTTGTGATAATGAGAGCAGCACAGTTCATGGTTGTATATATTAGGTTTTCCCTTGATGTATGGAAAATGGGTGGTATATTTTTAAGAGAAGGAAGGCCTAAAAGAAATGTTCAGTGGACCTTTGAGAAAGTAATGTTACACTCAAGACCATGCGTCCACACCACCTTTCTTTGTTGCAGATCTGGATGGCGTCGTTTCCATCTCGGCAGAGCAGCATGTCAAGGTGAATACTCTAGCATGCTGGCTTTGAATCATCATTTGTTTTTGGCTACACGATCACAACTGTGCTGTTTCTTGTTTTGGAGAGTGTCTAATACAGCTGCTACGCCTCAGTGACGTCAAGCACTTTTTGGCCTGGCCTGACATCGTTGCTGAGCCGCAGGTGGATGCGTCTTCGGGCTCGGAGGAGCTGTCCTGCGGCATATGTCTGGCGCGGCTGGGCTCGGCCGCCGGCCTCATCCGCCATCTGCAGGCCCACCGTGGTGCCGGCGACGCTCGCGACCCGGCCGCGTGCGCGCCCGGCCACCGCCGTGGTCCGGACTGCCTTCCGTGCGGCGGGTCGCCGGTCGCCGAGGCCAACGGGTCGCCGCCGGTCGCCGGAGCTGACCCCGATCCTGACCTCGGGCCGCCAGACCCGAGTCTCGGCTGTGGTGACGGTGACCGGCCGGCGCCCACCGGCGCCGCGGAGCCTGCGGCCGGCCTTCCGCAGGCGGACGGCGCGGCGCCCGGCCGCCAGCACGCCTGCTCGGCCTGCCCGCGCCGCTTCGGCTCGGCGCTGCTGCGGCGGCGACACCTGCGCCAGGAGCACGCGCCGCAGCCGCGCCACGCCTGCCGCGTGTGCCACAAACACTTCCCGACGCCGTCCAAGCTGCTCACACACGAGCACAGCCACAACGGCGAGCGACCACACCAGTGTCGCGTCTGCGATCGCCGCTACCTCTCCGCCCAGAAGCTGCACGTGCACGCGCGTACGCACACGGGCGAGCGCCCCTTCGTGTGCCACATGTGCGGCCGTGCGTTCGCCGCCGCCGCGTACCTGGCGCAGCACGAGCGCACGCACACGGGCCACCGGCCGCACCAGTGTCACGTGTGTGGTAAACAGTTCACGCAACGCGGCACCATGACGAAACACGTGCGCAAAGTGCACGTGGCGGCGGGGGTTCGCCACGCGCCGGAGCCGACGTGAGGAGTGACGAGAGTACGGGTCGGGGCGGGTCGGAATTACACTGTGCCTGGGCAGTCTGCCATGCAGACTTAGTGTGGTGACCGGTGATACCAACCTGGAGGTGGCGAAACGCTACCTGGTGCCGCGAACCGCCGCGGGTGCACCAATGCACTGCGATGGCTTCGGACGTGGCGAGCTGCCAATGAGGCGCTGCCTGTGAGGAAGTCGATGGCGGCGACAGCAGTTCAGGAAGAAAACGCCTGTATATGTCGTATCCTACTTGTGCGTGTGCGAGTTGTTGAAAACATATTTTTTTACTTGCCTTTGCGTTTATGTTGACTCGTCAATTATTCCGTCAATACGGTCGACTCAACAACGGCTGCAACGCACGCAAATTTGATATGGATCGATTCTTATTTTCTAAAGCAACAGGGTGACCGACTTCGGAATCGACTTAAGCCCCGCCCGGTGCCGAGCACCCACACATGCGTTTTGCATTCACGAGCGGCACGACCATGAAACACCAGCGCACATACCTACCGCTAGGTGGCAGTAGGTCCAACGCCAGCTTTGGGCCCGGACGCGTCATTATTTCTTGCAGTACTAGGAGGCCACGAGAGCTCGCTCATTGGCTGTGGGGCTCAACCACTGATGTAATGATTGCTTGGACGAGTCAGTTCCACGAACCTATCCCGACTACTGCAGACAGAGGCAAATGTGAGGCAGGTGCACGGCTTTCCTGGATAGGGCAGGTGTTGAACATACGGTCTGAGATCAAGGGGATCCGTTACTTTCCTCCGTGAGCACGTTTGCGATTGATATAGCGTTTTCGGGATGGGATTCTCTGTAAGGACATAAGCCCTCAGCAGCTCGAGCACAGGGGCACGTCCCCTCCTCTCCCCCTGCCCCCCCCCCCCCCCCCCCCCCCCGTTAGGCTCCAAGGGTCCCTTTGGGCCCATCGGGACCTGGAGGACCTACCTAGCGGGTCCGACAATGAAGGAACCCATTAGAGAGTTGAATCAGTAGCGCAGACAGAGGGGCACGTGCTCACCCCTCAGGCTTCGAGGGGCCTTTTAGGCCCCTCGGGACCTACGAAGAGTTCAATTTGAGGGCCCGAAGGCCCGAAAGATCGGCCAGAGGTCGATCGACTCAGCAGCCCCGGCCCACAGTACCGTGCACTACAATGCGAGCCAGAGGGCCCTGTGCGCTGCTCAAGGTCTCTTGAGTCGATGAGGGCCTATATGCCAGTCAGACACTGCCAATAACGCGCAGTCGGCTCCATGGCGGCTCCATTTCCCAAACAGGGACAAAGCCGGATCCAGCGATTTACATTGGTCGGGGCCCCACACGTGGGCCCTGTGATGGTAACGGGCCCCAGGTCGGTTAGAGGCAGTGTTTGAAGAGGCCCGAAGAGCCTGGATGCCCACAGGGCCGATGATCAAGGGCTCGATTGGAGGGTCTAGGGGCACGAAGGGCTGGTCGGAGTCTTGTTCAAGGTTCCCGGCTCGCGGGAACGGACCCACAGATGACAGTCAGAGGGACCTTTGCGCCGATCAAGGAGGCCCTGAGTCGACTTGGGTCTATATGTCGGTCAGGCACCATCAGTGCCGCACAGTCAGCTACGTGTCGATATGGGCTGAGGGACCCACTTCCCAGTCGGGGCCAGTGATTTATACTGGTGGGGCCCCTGCTTCTATCCGGGGCCCACAGCGCCTAACAAAGGGTCCTGTGCTCGCAATGGGCCCGAGGAGACCAAGGGCAGTGTAGGGTGAGGCCGGAGAGGTGCTCGAATGGCCCAACGGAACTGGCTATCAAAAGTCCGGCTGGAAGGCATAAGTGCCTCAAGGGCTGGCTCTAGGCCACATACAGAATCGCAGTCCGTAGAATCGTGACCTGAAACACAAGTCGGCGGTCCTCTTGCACCGTTTGAGGACCCCTGGAACATGCAGACATCTCCGCCAGAGATCGCGAACACCGAAGAGTTGGTTCGTTCGTTATCTTCCTGTCAGTCTGAACACTAGAGGCCCATTTCCGAAGCATCAGCAAGACTGGGGGCCACGATTTGCATCGGTCTGGGTGCCTGAAACGATAGTCGAGATCCCTGAGAGAGAGAGAGAGATGATGAGAGAAGCAGAGAGAGAAGCGACGAGAGAGAGAGCGGAGAGATGGAGAGATGGAGAGATGAATTACATTGCGAGGAGCTAGACGAGAGAGAGGACGAGAGAGAGAGAGAGAGAGGATGGAGAGGAGGAGATGAGGAGAGATGAGAGAGGATGAGAGAGAGAGAACGAGAGAGAGAGAGAGAGGACGTGTCTTATTGAAAAAGCCATGACCTTCAGAATATCAACTCATATAGCACATGTGCACAACATACATATGAAATAGGATACTACTTAGTTGGTAATATGTCTGTATTTATGAGAGTGGTTATATGGGGAATACTTGATTTGCGTAGTCGCATACCACAGCAAGACGTTTGGAGTGTGCTTGCGCTCCTGGTATTCTGCCGGAGATCGCCACTCCCTGCTTCGGAAGCAGATCTCTTTGCATGGGAGACGCTTGCATTTATCTTCCTAGCCTTAGGCATAGCTTTTTTCTTCTGTCAGCAAGGGTTTCCATGCCCAAGCGTTGCACGATGCGCGAGTGCTTTCCCGAAAGGCTGAAGATGATTTTCAAAGCTCTCGTCTGCACTCTCTCCAGGTGTTGCGCCTGCTTGGCAGTGAGTCCCGCATGAAAAACCGGTGCACAGTATTCTAGTAATGGCCGGATGTAAGTAACATGCACACGAACAAGCTGTTCCTGTGGTGGGTGGTACTTCTTCATTATGTAGAGCATATATAAAGCTTTCGACGCTTTGGTTACAGTATCATCCACACGTGCTTGCCATGACATGTCATTTGATGTAGTTACATTTAAAGGCTTAAAAGCGATGTCCAGTAGTGTAAATGGCATATGGCTGTGAAAAATACATGACTTGACACTTGTCAGTGGTCAATATCATCTTGTTTGCCGCTGTCCAATCACTTATCTTGTCAGTGTGCTCTTGCAACTGGCAGTGCCGATTTACTTGGTCAGTTCGACTCGCCTGGTACATGGTAAGGTCGTCTACATGCTTCAGTCGGTTGTCAATATCAGCAGCGGCACCGTTAACCATAGCCAGAAAAGCAACCGGGCCAACTAAGGTACCTTGTGGAGTGCCGCATGCTATGGCCCTCCAATGACTCATGGTTCCATCTGGCATCTTGACCCGCTGCTGTCGGTTCTGCAAGAATGAGCATATCCACTGTGCATACCCGGAGCGAAGCCCCATTGCAAGCATGTTCTGGATAACTGTTGTGTGATCAATGAGGTCAAGTCCCTTCTTAAAATCGTCGTACATAACCGTAGAAAATGATTTATCTGCTTCGTCTAATTCCGTCAGAAAATCATGCAACAACCTAATTAAATAGCGTGACGTTGAGGCACCTTTCACATTTCCGTATTGGCGCTTATCTATGCTTGGTTTTATATCCGCCAGAATTTGCGGAACAATAAATTTTTCCAAAACCTTGCTAAAAGTCGGCGTGAGGCTTAGCGGTCGCAGATTTCCTGGTAACTTGGGCGACCTTGTGTCGTCAGGGGCCCACAGTACATAAAAAGGGGTCATGTCTCAGCTAGTGACACTGGGCGGCCACGGGCTTTGTCTGAGGAGGTCCGAAGCGGGGCCGGGGGGGGGGCTCGGGACCAAAGATCAAGGTCCCGATTGCACTCGTGTACGACCCCCTACTCGTAGTCCTGTGAACTGAAATGTCAGTCAGAGGGCTCATTGAAGACATCAGTCGGAGTGCTCAATGACAGTGGGCTCCATGTCCGTCTGAGCTCTTGAGGCTCATTCTCCCAGCAGGAACGAGGCCAAGGCCAGCAATGGGCAATGTTTGGGGTCCTTGACACGATGAGGAGCCCCTGTGCCGGTCAGGGGCCGCAGAGCCTAACAGGGGTCCTGCGTCGGCAGGTGGCCCGAGTTAATCAGGAGCCGTGTTTGAGGAGTCCGAAGCGGGGCTGAAGGGTCTCTTGAGACCAAAGATCAAGGGCCCGCTTGAAAGGCTGAGCGTCCCAAATGGGTGGCTTTAGGTGTATAGGTCCTGTATCGCTCAGAGGCTCACAGTGCCTAACAGGGTATTCTGTGTCAACAAGGGGGCCCGAGCGGGTCACGGGAATATTTGCTCTACAGGAACGGGGACGAGACCCCGAATGGCAGAGAGTCTCTTGTGTTGGTCGGGGCCCTCTGGCAATGAAAGGAAACATGAGAGCTTATGCTGATTGTTCACACTGAAGCAAAGAAAGGGTCCTGTGCCGGTCAGGGCTCCCAGTAACAAACGGTGGACCCTCCAACACAATTCCAGCATGGGCCCGTTAAGCCCATCTGGAGTCTATGTGTTAATTATCGGACTACCAGCGGCGACCAAAGATGTTGTTGCGTCATTGAGGGTTTCTATGTCGATCCGGGGTCATCTGTGGTCTGTGCGGGTCAGAAGGCCTCTCGCGTCAGGGAGGGGACCAATGTTGTGTGATGCACCCCTCTAAGGGCCTCCGGATCGGCCAAGGGAAAGGGTCCCGCCCCGTGTCGCCAGAGTGACGGCCGGAGGGTTCCCCACGGTGGGACGGAATAACCCTTCAGTCCTTGACCGGGAATAACAATGTGCCCCTAGCGTTCCACTAAAGGGGGCCTTTTTCCGGAAAGTAAAATAGGGGTCTCATTAGTGTTGAATAGAGGGTGTCGAAGCGAGCTAAAAAGAACGGGAGAGGCCATCCCGTATTTGCCTGAGAATGTTGTTTTTTTTTTTGCAGAATCGACTAGCGGAACAACTTGCCAAAGGGTTTAAGACTGCGTGCCCGCAGTATCGGAAGCAAGGACAGCGACAGCCTGAGTTGCAGCTTCCGTAAAACCAAACGGCGCTGACCACTACAAGTAACACCAGGCAGTGTGTGCCGTGTGCGTGAGGGCGATCGTCGTGGAATAAAGCTCCTCAATGCCTTAAAAA